CCCCTGTGTGCCTTGCCTCCCACGACTTTGTTAATGCGCTTGGTACATGAGACAGAGATTTTATGGCCATGGACTTTGTTATTATTGCTTCGATGAAAGAAGAGAGAGACATTGCTTGTGGCTTTTGTATTTGTGGTAGACGGTACAAGATAAGGGTCAGGAAAATTTTGAACACTAATTGATTGCTATCAATCATGGAGCGATTATTAATATATATTTGGGGTTTAAGTTGAGTTTCTAATCATTTGGCAACCATTCGACAGTGGCCATGTAAAATTTACTTTTGAAAAATGGTTGGATAAGGCTGCAGCCCTAACAAAAACAAGTAAAGCCTTACTTTATAACTAAGAAAATTGATTCAAGCATTTTACATTGATAATCTCGACTTAACATCCAAAAAAAAATAAAAATAAAAAATAAAATAATTTCAAGCTCTAAAAATATAGGTATTTTCATAAACCGTCCATTTATTCATAGATCCTCAAGATCAGTACCACTTTTTTAGTTTTAAATTTCATCGCGTGGACCTCGTCAGTTGGGTAGAAAGGGCGAAGAGAGAGTATGCGTTTTAGCCTGTCAATTATTTAGAGAGATAGAGTTGTACATTGTCAATCATTTTGTGTTTAAAATACTGGTTTAGAGAGAGAAGAGAAGGATTGCGGTCAATTGTCTAGAGAGAGAGAGAGAGAGAGAGCACCTTTTCAATTGTTTTGGCGTCATCTCTGTTGGCAAAATGAAGGGCTATCTCGAGGCAATAGAGAACGGGGCCAGCATTTGCAGGGATTAAATTGAGGTCAAAAGTTTGGTGTGGGAGCAGGGGCACAGAGTGGCAGCCATTAACAGGGTGATCGCTGTTTGTGAAGACGAAGCCTTCAATGTAATCAAACGACTCACTGCTTGCTCTCGTCACCAACAACTCTTGGTCCCTCGAAAAATCATCAAAATCTGCATATACCACTCTTATCCAACGCACCTGTCCCCCCAAAAAAGGAAATCAACATTTAGAGAGAGAAAGTTCAACGATTTTCCATTACATAATGAACACAATCCTAGAGAGACGGACAGGGAGATATTTCTACGATGTTTACATCATATAGTGAAAAGAAAACTAGAGAGAGAGAAAGATATCAGCAATGTTCACATAACAGAGTAAAAACAAAAATAGAGAGAGAGATATTTCAACAATGTTTACATCACATAATGAAAACAAACAGAGAACACAAAGAAACACAGAGGAAGAGAAAGAGATCAGAGAGAGATATTTCAACGATGTAGTGAAAAGAAAACTAGAGAGAGAGAGAGAGAGAGAGAGCTTTCAGCAATGTTCATATTACATAGAAAAAACAAAACTAGAGAGAGAGAAAGACATATCTCAACGATGCTTACATCACATAGTGAATAGCGACGACAAACCTAGAGATAGAGAATGAGAGAGAGACAGAGACTCTAGATTATAGAACACAATTACACACAGAGCAAGAAAGTAAATTGAGAAAGTCACTGAGAGAGAGAATTCTAGAACACAAAGAAACAGAGGAAGAAAGCTAATTGACAACGTCAGAGAGAGAGAGAGTTACCGTCTAGAACACAAAGACACAGCAAGAAAGTAAATTGAGAAAGTCAGAGAGAGAGAGAGAGACCATATCAGGCGCCTTCTGAAGCAGAATCCTGGCCCTGGTAATGATCCCAAATTGGCCCAACCCCCCCAAAACCCCAAAAAAGAGCTCCCCATTCTCTCTCTCTGAACACCTCACAACCTCCCCGCTCCCAGTGACCACCTCCATCTCCTCCACATTCACCACTTGAGGCCCATACCTGAAACTCTGCCCACTCACCCCTCCATTGCTCAAAGTCCCCCCAACACTCAGAGAGAGAAAGTCCGTCCACGACCTCGGCGCCATCCCGAATTGCAAACAGAACCTCAGAACATCTTCCCAAACCTCCCCTCCCTTCACATCCACACAGAAGTAGGACGAGCCCGTCGAGCCGGCCTGTTCCGGGTCCGTGTTTGCAACTCTCGGGATTACGGCCATTGAGCCGCGCATGGAGGACATGTCCAGGACGATGCCGTGGGGGGCGTTCGCCTGGCCATGGACCGAGTGGCCGCAGCCACGGGCGGATAGAGTCAAGGTTTGGTGAGAGAGGGCCGCGCGAATGGCACGGGTAACATCGCTGGCGGTGGAGGGGAGGGCGACAGTTGCGGGCGGTGGGTCGGCGCGGAGGCCACCGAAGTCGCGTGCGGCCGCCAGGCGGAGGTGGAGAGGTGTGGGCTCGAGCCCTGATGCGGCGGGTGGGTCTGGTTGGCTCGAGCCATCTTGGCCTGGGTCTTGTTGCTGCTGGTGGTGTGGTTGGGGAAATCTATCAGAAAAGACGATCATTTTTTTGGGGTGGGGGAGGAGATGGGGGTGTTATTTATGAGGATGAGGACGAGGCCGAGGCTGAGGCTGAGGCTTAGGCTGAGGCTGAGGCTGAGGCTGCTGGGTTTTCCTTTGAGAGAGAAAGAAGAGAAAAGGGGCGAGAAATGGCTTGTAAGTGTTGGGTAACAGGAAGTTTCGTTTTTTTAGTGGTTTTTCTTTTAAGTGACTTGGAGTGGATTCTTGTTTTTGGTATATTGAGAGAGAGAGAGAGATAGAGAGAGAATGAATGATTGTTGTATGGAATCTATCGTTCTTTATATCTGTGTCTAGACAAATGGATCGGTGATGTGGATTTTTTATTTGAAAAATCAGTTCGGATCGGTAGATCGGCCGATCCAAATTGGGATTCAGGCGAGCGAATATCATTATGAGGGTCATCACCATCGATTAAAAGGTAGGACGGTATATTTTGAAACTTGTTATATGATTCATGTTACCCCTATGCGATTACCGCCCAAATCATGTATGATGATCTTTATGACCATATTATTCCATGAACACATGGGACAATACTTTGTTTTGGGATTGTATATTATGAGACCAGTTCTTTGTAGTACAAGGAGATCATAATCAATTCTACCCATCATATGTTTAATTCAATGGCTTAGGGTATGTCATGAATTTTTTTTAAAAATTCATCTGAAATTTGAACAAGTTAACGGTATAAGACATCTAATTTGATGTCAAACTAATGATGATTGTGACCACTTTGTACTAAAATTATATAGTCTTACCGTTTACTTTACCTTTTGTTTTCGTTAGTAAGAGGAGAAAGCAAAAAGAACGGACAAATCCTTACCTTGTGACCCTTAACTTTTTGTTCAGGAATGGGCTGAAAGTTATCTTGGACTCAAAATTTGGAATTTGGGCTAGGAGTGTCATCCAGACCAGATCTATTGAAAATCGGCAAATTAAATTCCAATTATGAGGTATTTCATATGCTTTTGAGATATCAATTACCAAAAATATGATAGCTCGAGATGTGTTCCAAAGTTTGAAAAAAAAAAAAACAAACAAAAAAAATCTCAAACTTTGCAAGACACCATTATCCATCAAATTTTTACATCTTAGTGCTGGTGTTGACTGGGACCTTGAATTAAGGACAAAAAGTCTATGTGGTATATGATATCAAAAGAAAGCCGGTGAATCTATAGAATTTTAAAAGATCGTTGGTTCAGGTAAGAGAGTCATCATCGATTGTATAGTATATAATATATACAAACCCTTGTTAAACATAATTAACAGGATTGAGTAAGTTTTGTAAAATAAGAAAAAAAAAACCATAAAAACAAAACAAACACTTGTATGTCCTTCATTTTTTTCTCTGTTTTGGGAGTTCATTAGTTTGTCAACTCCTCTAATTTGTCTCGCCCGTTTGAATTGAAATAAGTTAGTAGACGATCCACCCCATCGATCCATGTTTTACAACTTTGATAGTATACGTTTAGGTTATTGTTGTGAAAAGAAAGTATATATTATCTGTCAAGTTAATATAGAAAGCGTATATTGCAATAAGTATATATGGGAATGGTAGGTACAATATCTTATATTGTATAGTAAATCTAAGTATCATATAAGTGTTTGTGATTTGTTTCTACTCTTGTCACTTATATTTATCTATTTAAGACCAACTTGTACATGCATATTGATTAATGGACCGCCAATTTTTTTAGAGAAACTTGAGACTCTTCACAATTGTAAGTAATGTGGGCATGGCAAAGGGCTAGGGTAAGAGTGAGAATGTTTGGCTACAGAGTCGGGTTCAGCTCTAGAGTGAGAAAGTGTTTTTCATGAGGTGAGGATATAGATTGATGGCCCCTCTTGTCTGCCACTCCAAGAGTGGGTTTGTTTAAAGGACTTGAATTCATATTTTGACTATTACCTCACTATCATTCTAATAGGTTTATGAGTATTTGTGATGTATCTATTTGCTCTCACTTTCACTTGTCTTTTTTGTCTCTCTTTTTTTAAATGACAACTCATGGGTACTCTATGTCTTAGCTCTTTCTCTTTTCTTTAAATCACATAAAATTTTAATATATAGGTTATGATTATCTTTCAACTTTAAACAAAAGCTCGTATTTGTTTTGTTATGGAAGAGTTGTCTAGGCATTTATAACATGTAATATTGTAGTGTATGTTATTTGGGGATGACATAGCGTACGTTGAAGAGCTAGAGACGATGTCAACGGAAAGTTAGAACTTTAGATGAATGCTTTGGAATTTAAAAATAGTTCTAAAAGTAACGGGACCAAAAAAAATGTATGGAATGCAAATTTAGTGATGATAGGAGCAGAAATGAGCAATTAGTTAAGATCAATGTTCGAATGTATGACTTGGGTTGAGTACTCCACTCGAGTCCGAGTAACTCGGCTTGAGTACTGTAGCAGCAAACAATGTTAAGAAATTAAAACTACAAAAAAGGAGGAAATATATGTTTAAAGTAAGATTAGAAGAAAAAAAAACGATTCAAAATGAGGTTAAAAAAGTAATAAAAAATAGATTTTGAAAAATTAGTTTGTGACTAGTGATATTTTCAAAATTATCCAAAAAATGATGGGAAAAATATAAAAATAAGCATTCATAGCCAAAATACTTTTCAATCTTTGCCAAAATGATAGAGCAAATAAATAAACATGTTACACATATATTTCTTATTTTTTATAATTTTTTAAATTTCTTTTAAGATCCCTGGCTTAGACCCCCTACTTGGGACAACTCTGGCTTGGCCACTACCCAAGCCCGAGTAACTCGACCAATTCTGATTGGACTCGGCCGATTTTTCAAACACTGGTTAAGATTGATGACTAAGAAGTACCTATAAGAAATTTTTTTTATATCATGGGGCGATAATCTTTGATAATAGAGAGATTGAGTAAGATGATACACAAAAAATTGGAACTAGACAAAATGTGGATGTGCTTTTGGAGACTTATGTGATTGTCGCATACTAATGATGAAATTGATTTAAAATTCTATAAAATGGTTGTGAGACCAACCATGCTTTACAAGATGGAATATTGAGCCCATCAAAAAACAAGATATCCATGGAATGGTGTAGTTGATATGAGGATGTTATGATGGGCAAGTGGTAAGGCAAGAAATGATAGATTTTAGAATGAACACATTCAGAGGAACTTATAGGGATAGGTCTAATAGGTGATAAGATGACAGAAAGTAGATTTAGATGTTCTAGCCATATACAATATAACCTAAGACAACACCTGTTAGGAGTAGTGATTTGATTTAAGTTGAAGGCTCTAAAAAAGCAAGAAAAAAACCCAAAAGGATATGGATGGAAGTAGTGAGAAGAGATATGACGACTTATAGTATGACTGAAGTTATGACCCTTGATAGAGCAGAATGATTGAATATGATTCATGTAGTCAACTCCAAATAATTGCGATAAAGCTCGAATGATGATGATGATATAATGTTAAAATTTAATATCGAGGGAGCACATGATCCATTTGTGCCATTCCTAGAACTTTCTTTCTTCTTTATTTCTTATAGGCTCTCTAGCTATCTTCTATAAATCCTTTATTCTCTTTTTGATGCCTTAATGCTTGTTTTTATTACATAGAGTAACCATAGTGAGAATAATACCTAATCTCATGCAAATTGCCAGTGTTTCAAAAGTTAGAAGCAGAATATGAATTGCCACTCCCAGCTCACCTAATCGAAATCGACAATTCCCAATTCAAATGGGTGTACTGATTCAATGAAAAAATAACAAAAAAAAATAAAGAAGAAAAAATATTCAATGGGAATTAGGTGATTCCTTGGTCCTCTAGAACCCGATGGGCCCCCGCCATGACTAGCTCTAGGTTCACCTGTGCATATGGTTTTCCCCACTAATTTAAAACAACGTGAGGTTTGTATAAGGTGATAGCCTTATTATATATACCATTCAAGTAAAGCTCACCTTTAAATTTTATTGAAAGATGTAGTTTTGGTGTTGAAACTTTATAATAACTTAAAAATCCAAGTTTAGCTCTTGATAATAATCAATATGCACTATTTTAAAACTTAATTTTTTTTTTTAACTTTATATATATATCTCAAGGTCGAGATGATCAATCAAAAAGTTTTCTGATTATAAAACACTCTTTAATTGGATTCTTAAGGTGCACCTTGCTAATATATAGAATCAAATCTTATATAAACTTTTTCCTTTCGAAAAATGGATATTTATTATCACAAATGTTAGTTTTGTTCAAGGTATTTTGTGACGTTTTTCATGGGGTTGCATTTATTATGGAGCATGTGAGGTGGAGCCATGGAGATGCAAATTTAATTATATGTTGTGGCCATATCTGCCTTTTCTTGTTGGACCAAATCTGCGTATCCAAACTAACCGCCATAGGATACAATCATCCTCTCTCTCTCTCTCTCATGTATTGAAAACTCCTCTGTACAAAAATATGGAAAACTCTCTCTCTCTCTGATGTATTGAAAATTCCTCTCTCAGCTTTTTCATGCCTAAAATGAGTTGAAAAATCTCTCTATAATGTATTGAAATTCTCTCTCTTCTTTCTAATGTATTAAAAATACACACTCTCTCTCATAGAGACAGGTCCCCTTTACATATGTGGCCACTCTCTCTCTTATACAGAGATGGACCCCTTTGACATGGGCTTGCAAGTGAGCCCTTCTAGTGGCTCTGCACTTTTCTGTTTCTTTTTTGCCCTTTTTTTTTTATACTTTTATGAAATTGGTGCTTGAATAATTAATTATTTTATAATATATTATCTTATATTTTTAAAATATGAAATTGATGTTTTATATAAAAAAAAACTTTATAAAAAGTTTCAGTAATCTACCATCTATTTTATTTTGATAGTGTAGATTGGGCACTATCTTAAAAGACATGTCATGTATTAATATTGTTTTAAAAAATGTGCAAAATCTATACGGTCCAAATGAATGGACAGTAGAGAGTATCACAACCTTACTTCTATTAGTAGGATTGCAACTTCATACAAACCGCACCCTCTAGATATATTGTCAACTTTGTCATTTGTGAAAGTGTTAATATATTTACATAATTTATTATGTTATTATGTATAGCATAAAATCATATTTATAAATCTCAATAAAAAATAAAGAAAAATAATTTGATAGGGTTGTGGCTCTATCAAAATAAGTAAAGCCTCATCAAAAGTTACAATTCAAGCATTAGAAAATCTTGACATAATCATCTTGGCTTGAACATTATGGTTGTGAAAACAAAATG